CCAATCCCTGCATGGGCAGTGACACATCCCAGTATACTAGGTCACTGCAAGCCCTGTCCAATCTCTCCTTGAACTCTTTCTCATTGAAGAGTGCAATGAGGAGATGCTTCTGAGGAGAATGTAAGTTTGGACAGCTTTGGTAATCCACAAAAAATGTGGTATGCCAGGCCTTTGGCATTAAGATTTATAAGAAGTGGAAGGTTTAGACCTGAAGCTTTAGGTGAAGTAGATGAAGAGCTTCCAGGCACGTATACATAGCCATTTTCTAAAATGCTACCAAAGGCAATTGCCAGACAGGCATAGTATTAAAAGTTACTATTCAATGCTGCTTAGTATTTATTTAGAATTTGGACTAAAAGTCTCCTTATTCACTGAAGAACTGCTGCAAAGAAATTGACAAAGAGTCTGATATCCCTTGACAAACATTTACACAGGAGGTGATGGTAAACAAACAGGACCTAATATCTAGCACAATGTTTTTATAGGACATGCTTTATTAAGAGATTTGTATTTTTGCTCTGCCTGTCAGGAGAATCTTTTATCCCCAAAAGTCTGATTGCAGGCTGACTGTAAAATGTAGTTTTCCATTTTTAATCAGCATATGGAGAATGGAGATGTATATCCAAAGGCATTAGCAGGTAGTACCCAACGTCTCTGAAGCCACATTTATTGAAAACTTCAATTTGACCGTGAACTCATGCTTTAATAGCTTTGTTTTGCTGTTGATGTATCATTATATTATTCTCATATGCTGATGCAGGTTTATTCATTGTCTACCAAGAGCAGAATATTGCAGCCCATTCACATGGGGAGTAAAGACCATTTTTTCAAGTTAAAACTCTCAGTTAAGTCAAAACAGAATGTCTTATTTAGGAATGAGGTGCAACCAATTCTGCTCTGTGAATGCCAGATGATAACGCTGTAACTGGCTGTGCACATGCATCTAGGGTCAGAAATGCTACTGCACCAGGCAACTGGGAACACTTAGACCAAATATACAGAAATGGAACACGCCAAACTTAGTGAAACACACAGTTTAAGATATGTTATAAAGGAGATGGGTAAAATAAATAAGACATTTCTGAAAATGTCTATCTCATTCTTTCAGAAAAAAAGTTTAAAAATATTCAGACTTTGCCAGGAGTTTAAAGACTCATTTTGAATGCTACTCATCATGTGTAAATATACTTGTAAAATAATCATTGATTGGTCTGGATTTCTTGTGTTTTGGTTTGTAGAGACATGTGGACATAAATTCTGCTCTTAGCTGGTCAGGTTTCCAAAACTCTTAAGAACCTGTCTAATTTAAGTAGGAAGTATATGCTTCAATGTAGTTAACTTGTTAAATGGAGTTGTGAACCTTAAACTTGGCTGAACTCCTGGGATCCATTTAATTTTTTTTGTACAGAAGTGGTCAGCACAGCTGGCCTCTGCAGCCTTCCGAGGTAGCTGGGTGATATTGTTGCACTAAATGGGAAATGGAAATGGAGCCTTTTTTGGTAGCACATGGTTAGTTTTGATAATGTCTCCTACTATATGTTTTGGCAACAGTTTTCAAGTGTTCCATAAGCCATACATATTTCTGGAACAAATCAGCTGGTAGTTATCTTTGAGGACACATCTTAAACTTTTCTCTACAAATAGTGTGACAGATTCTGTTTACATTAAACTGAATTTTAACTTAAAAAAAAAAAAAGAAAAGCAGATCTCATGCTATTGCTTTGAGGAGAGATGGAAGATTATGGAAATTACAGTTATTATGGAAACAAAGATTAATTTTTCAGAAGATTATTTCTGCTATTGTTTAAAAATTGTTATTATTCTATGCCCCGATACTCTCCTGATGTATGAGGAGTCTTGGTCACCATTATGAGAATTTCAGAATGTAAATTACAGAGATTGTGATGAATCATTACAACATAGTATGATATATAGATAATAATATACAAAAAGAAGGCTGTACGGTCTTGAACACTGTCTTTTCCCTTGACTAACTGTCATGCATTATTGTAGAGCAAATGGTGAGTATATTAGTGTTAGTTATTTGGAATTTATATTATTTTTGCCTATTGTCAACTTAATGGATGATAGATTTATCTCTGGTTTGAAACCAAAATCTGGATAAGTTCGTATATAACACATAAACTGAACAACTTATCTCTAGGATAAAACTAACCTTGAGGAGTTAAGTTTCATCTCCTGAACTACTGATAGGAACTGTAGACTATTCAGTGTAGCTAGAGTAGACACAAAATAATAGAATTATAGACTAGTTTGTGTTGGAAGGGACCTTCAAGATCATATAGTTTCAACCCCCTCCATGGGCAGGGACACCTCCCATTAGATCAGGTTGCTCAGAACTGCCCTTGAACACTTCCAGGGATGGAGCTTCCACAACTTCCCTGGACAACCTGTTCCTGTGTCTAACCACCCTCATACTAAAGAATGTCTAGCTACTGTTTAACCTAAATCTACCCTATTCCAGTTCAAAATCATTACCTCCTGTCCTATTGCTACATGGATGTGAGTAAGATACAATTCACTCAAACAGCCTCAGAAATCCCATGTCCCCTCTTTATTATCCTCTGAAGGCCTCCTGTTCAGTGGAATACATTTCTTAGTATCCCTAAAGCATTGGGGAATCACACAGAAGTGGTTCAGGCTGCCCTGGGATGGTGCCTGAGGCAAATTCACATCAAGCAAACATTTAAGACCTAATGTAAGTCTAGTTTGCCTCTTCTGTACTTAGAGGCAATTGCAGCATTTCACTGGCTTCATCTCATTTTTCTGTAGTTGATGACATACCAACACATTCCAATGAATCTCTTCACAATCCTACAATTTTTGTACTCATGATACAGTTTCCCTTGGCGTTGTGAGCTGGATCCTCCCAACTAACATGAAAAATACAATCTCTCCTGATGTTATAAAAAAACTCATGGGGATAGAAACAGCTCAAAATTGCTGTTCAGGGACTGCTGCAAGCTTCTCTGGGGGCTTGTGCCCCAAGCAACATGGTGTAATATGGAGCAGCCCCATAACTGTCTCAGCAAACCCAGTTCCCTAGAATCCTTATTGGTATCAACTGGCATGATTTACCACCACTTTTACTTACAATTACTTAGCAAAATTACTTAAGACTAAAATGACAAGTGTTTGTAGCTAAGGACAAAATTCCATTCTGAGGTGTAATAAATTATAAAGCAGTTAAATATATTAACTAGAAAGAGAAATTAGAGCCTCAAGATACATTTGCAATTAAATATGTCTATTTAATGTTTTACCTCAGTTTGACAACACACTCATAATTTATGAAGCTGTATGTCTTGATGTCAAGAAATTGAGGTAATTGTGAAGCTAATAGCTTTATAATAAGAAAATCTATATCCCAGTTACAAAACCTAAATATTTGATGGGTAAATCTGTCTGGAAGATCTTCTGAGATTCAGATAAGATCCCCGAAAGAGAGAAGCATTTCAGGCCAATAATGACTGTCTACTTTCAGCATCTTTGGTAATTCTATTGTGCAGGTGGATAAAGAAATAAGCACATGCTTTCCTTGAATGGTATAAATAATATGAGTCAACCCCACACTTATGCTCTTGTGGGCTCTCTGACCTCTGGGTAGTACTGAGGAGCAGAAGAAATGCCATTGTATCCCATTAAATTGCTTGTGCAAGTGAAAGCACTTGGCAAGGTTCATTTAAAAATTACCTAGAGAGCTAGACCAGTACAGGCATCTAGTGGCCTAAGTCCTTACACTAGACACATTGCTTCTTCTAACCTTTTTCCCTTACTGTATTCTCAAAATTATTCCTTAATCACCTGTTATAGTAATCCAAAGTAACTTGGCTTGCGAGATCAAATGAGAGTATTCCTCCTCACCGTGTTTCTGTTGTCATACAGAGCAACTCTATTGCTGACTAACAGTGAAAAGGTGGGAAATCTCAGAAAGATGGCTGCAATGAACTTGATTTACATTATGGGACATGAGAGATGTCATGAACATGAATCAAACTGTCACAGAAACAGATCCACGTTACATATGGATGCCTGCATTTTATGTTTACACAGTACACCTGTACATTAGTCCTTATTTTGTCTGCAAGCTTTCATTTGTGCTCTTTGTTAGAGCTACAATTCAGCTGGTATTTTATAGCAATACTCTGACACAAAGGCTTGTTTATTAGTCATCGTTCAGTAAGCAAGGAAAGAATATGCTATGTTTAGAATAAATGATACAGAATTCTGCATTACAAGCCTTTCTTGATACCGAAGTTTTCTTTGGTAACCATTCTAGAATATGGCATAGCTTATAAAGTGACCAGAACTCAGCAATTGCATCATATTCTTATTGTTAAAAGTGAGGTTTCAAAAAAGCATACTTGCTGAGATGCTACCTTTAAATTAGATACTCTTTACTCCAGCTTCCTATTTCCCTCTCCTTTTTTTTTTTTTTTCCTAATTTAACTTGCTTCCTCATTCCTTGCTTACTGTGAAAAAAAGTGATAATGAAGTAATTTAAAAATAATGTAGTGGAGTAGCATAATGAAACATGAGTAATAAACCAGTGGTTGAATGATACACCAATGCAGGTAGATTTTCTAGTATATTCACAGCATACTCAGATAGTTTGTGACATGTTTTTGCAACGAATACACCTTTTTAGATGAGGGCTAAATCTGCCTCTGTAGCTCTTTCTTCAACAGTGTAGAGGAAACTGCCAACATTTATTCCCAGTGTTTGAAAGGAACAGTAGTGAAACAAATTTGTAGGACATAAGGATGGATCTGACCTATGCCTAAACTCTTATTGGTCTTGGGAAAAACCTGTTCCTTCTGGTCCAGAGCCTCTACCAGGTAGTCAAATACTTCCTTTATGTTTGTAAAACTCTATTAAAAAGCATATAAGCAAGCTTTAGAAAGCTGTAGGAAATTAGTGTTTGATCCATAGTGGTTTCCTTCTATTTTGATGGTCAATATTGTAAAGAGAGTACTGACCTGATCTGAAGCCATGTGAGCATTGGTGTTGTGCCCCCACCAAACACCCAGACTGTGAAAAACACAATAAGCAGGGTAGTTGTAAACATCATTTGTTTGGGTTGGGATTCGGTGTCTCGAATAGCCAATGCAAATGCTATTGCACCACGTAAACCTAAAAAAACCCAAACAAACAAAACAAGAATTATGAACTTAATAAACTGGAGAAACAGAATTTTGCTCTTTTTAGCCCAACCCTTGTTCTTAGGACAGACAGAATTTTCAGACCAGGACCATAGTTATGAAATGCCAGACTGTGCATATTGGAAGGATGGTGTTTCATGCAAGCGTAAGCAACTTTGCAAAAGTGGACAATGCAGCTACTCTTGTATTCACATAACAATCACACTTTTTTTTCATCCACTGAATTCTGCCTTGAATAATTGCAAATTAAGTAACAATCTGAACTTCATGCTTGTGAAAAATGTAATCTATTCCCTGTGTTGTTATATCGACTTCAGTGGGACTACTTGTGAAATCAGGTGCCAATGAGAGTGTTGACATTAAAATCTGTACCCAAATAGGCTACCCATTTTTTGCTTGAAACAATAGAAAATGGCTTGAAATTTTTTTTAAAACCTTTCAATGTGTTAAGAACAGTCATAGAAATTATGATGTAAAAACAATGTATATTTTTTTAAATAATAAGTTTTTTAAAAGGGGATACGGAATAAATGTAGATTTTTAGCATTATAGTAGTTGTAAAATTGTACACAGAAAACAACTTATAGTAAGTATAAAAAATGTCTCATAGGTAGTAATTAACTAAATATGTCCTCACAGTGTGAAACATTTTAGAAAAAGAGAGGGAGAAAAAGCCAGGATGTGTAATGCAAATAATACTCTGCATTTTCCAACCTTTTTCATTTATCTATTTAAATTCATTGTTTTGCAGAAAAGTTTTCCACAAAATAAGCATAGAGTGCAAGGCCATTACATGTATATAATACACACTGAATTAAAAAATACTTTGCAAGTATCAAGGGATTCAATCTAATAATTGAACCTCTTTTAAGATAGTGATGGTGTATGAGGAATCACTGAATCGACTGCTGAAAAGCAGCTGGTTTTAGAGTTGAACTCCAAAGGTCTGTAAGATTGCACAGTCACAGTGTGATTTAGCTAGTATAGAAGTTGAACACATATGCTGAGAATAATACAAAAACATTTCTCCAAGGAAATACCAGATTGTAGTTACACTAGCTGAAAATGGTCAGTGGCAGCAAAAATCTACTTTTACGAAAATAATGCTACAGCCAACAAATGGGCTTGTCTTTGACTTTGCCTTTATGTAGAAGGTATCTCTAAGGAAATGCTTGCTTTACTATTTTCTTATAGAAAAACAACAACAACAAAAATCACAAAAAGACCCCAGTTTATTTTTTATCTCATTTAAAACAGGTATCTCAGGAATGAACTGCTACTGAAATAGTCTCTTTCCCATGGTTATAGTGGTACTCTAGATGACCAGTCCAGATTAAATGCTTAAATTATTAGTGGGTGTATTTTGGTGGAAAGCAATGCTGCATCACAGAACATCTCTTTTGGTAAGAGGGAACATTTAAAAAAATGTTAATTTGTATTAAGAGACACTACTTCTTGAGCACCTGACTGGGTATTTCTTCAGTTTTGAGAAACGCTGAGTGCCTTCACTGCATTTTTAATTTATAAAAAGCTCATAATGGTCTGTAAGAGCTAGTTCAGTTTCAGCTAAGAAATTGTCTGAAGTAAAATAATCAAACAAGGCATTAGCTTCCAACTAAAGCAGTGGGAAGCAGATGAATGTAACCTGAGATGGAAAGACTCAATGAGAAGCAAGGAACACTATCATATCATAGAATCATGGAACTATTCAGGTTGGAAAAGACCCTCGGGATCACTGAGTCCAACTATCATCCCTACTCTACAAATTTTTCCCTAAACCATATCAAACAACACCACATCCAGACGACCCTTAAACACATCCAGGAATGGTGATTCAAACATTCCAGGAAACAACCCTAATGAAAGATGGGAATTTTAACCACCTCAGAAGCTGAAATAGACAGAAGATAAGGAAAGTTACATTTTCTGTAACACCTCAGGGAAAAGTACCACCAAAACACAATGGAACTATTGGCTCCAATGGACATTGGTACTTCAATTACACCTGGAGAGACTGGCATGGTAGAAGGAAAACACTCTGGTGAACTATTAGCAGATATTCTCTCCGCCCTCATCTTTATCAGATACCACATTGACAGTAGGTCCATATCTGGTGCTGTGATCCATTGATCTTTTGGGCTCTGTCACAGATTTCCTACTGGAATTTTCTGCTAGCTGTGCCAGCCATTAGGGATTAATCTGTCAGAGATATTGTTTCATGTGTCAGGGCTTTCAAAGGAAACCACTCCCAAGGTTAAGCTTCAGAGCCCAACAAAATAGGTGCGTCCTATTGGGTGGCCAAGCTTCACAAACACATACTCCTCTGAACTCATCCCACTGAAAGGCCTTTGAGGGCAGCAGTGTATGTGGGTAGTGAAGAGAAAAGCTGCCAGAAAAGACTTTGTGTAGATCTGGTGTTTGGTTTTTTTTTTCCAGCTGTAGCTCTCTTCTCTATCCTCCCTTGCTTTTTGTTCTCTTTAGCTGATTTCTTTTCATATCTTTCTTCTTGGAAATGTTCACTTGGACACTTCCTACCACTGTGTATGTATGAGTGTGCAGATGTAAATGACTGCACACCAGCTGCCTGTACACAGGCATTTTCTTGTTTTTCTTCAGCATTTGTGTTCCACCCTTGCAGACTCCATTGCTACTGTCATGTCTTATATAAACAGCAACCAACCCTGTAGCACCGTGTCCCACAAGCCTCTTGCTGATTTATATGCTTTAGAGATGAGAAACACACAGTAAAAAGTAAATAGAGATACTGGAAGAACAGTGGAAGGTTCATTACTGTTCCTGTGAAATAGTCCCTTCGTGGTCATGTGGCAGTGATGCCCAAATATCAAACATGCTATTGTCATTAGTAAGTCCATCTGGATCCACTTAATTTCTGTCTTCTTTGATTTTATTACCAGTTAAAGGCATCATAGTAGCGTTTGAATTGAAATGAGGCATTTTTCTTACAGCACAGACCACTAGTCCATAGTGGAAGCTTCCTTACAATTTAAGACAGTAAAATAGTGCTTTTTCATATGAGTAGAGACTTTTGACCTACTCATTTTAGCTGATGTTGAACTTAATTTGAGAAGCTCAGGCTTAATAATTATACAAGGAGAAATCTAGTTTTTATTTATAATGAAATGTTAGCAGAAATCATGATTAAACACAGTTGTAAAAGTGAATCCACCCTCCCTAATGTGTTGTTAGAGGAGTGGCAGAAGCCAGTGAATGTAATAAATAAAAATGCTACAGAATCCACTTGCAAGCCTGACTCTTCATCTTTTCTCAAATATATTAATACTCCTCAAAAATAAAAAATTAATTATTTCAGTAGAACTCTTTGCAGAGTAAGGTATATTCAAAGGCTAATTGACAAAGTACTTGCCTGGCCTTAATTGATTTTTTCAGACTTTGATATTCGTGGTGATTATGGCAGTAAAACTCAGTAAAGAAAACAGTAAATGTTTGGTGCATTTGGTAATAATAAGATAGAAAAAAACCCAGCTAACCTCACATTCACTGTTTTCTGCATCTTAGTGTGTGATGCTGTGGTGAGTGAAGCCCTGATTTCCCTATGATCAACTAAAAACTGATGCTGTGCCAGAATATTGTTGCTGATCTTGTGTAGGCAATAAGTGTCTTCTTCCAAACTCGAGCTCAATGCCTCATTTACTCATATCAGAAACATCTCTCTTCTGGCAGTCATTGTCTTCTCAGTTTATCACTATATACAATCTGATCAGTTGATAGTAATTAAGAATGTTATTGGTAACTCAGCACAAATCTTCATGCATATTAAAAAATACAATTATACAGAAAATCCCCATGTTCTAAGTGTTCTGTGAAGTGTGAAGCCCCTGGCAGTGAGAGAGGCTGTCAGTCTTTATTGCTCTACTTGCAGATGATGCCCTCTACTTTTTAATAATGTTGTAAAGACATTATTCTCTACAAAATGCAGTGTTTCTTTGAAAACTATTAAAATTACTTTTCCAAGTATTTTAACATTTAAATTTTAGATGTTTTAAATACTACTGTTTTCAGTTCACAGCTTCCAGGTTGCACTAGGAACCTAATGTGTGAGTTCTCACATTCAGTTGTTGGCTGCAGGCTACTTTCTGCTCCTAGTTCTGTAGAGAATGAAATTTGTCTGGAGAAAACGAGGACAGGGACGTTGAAGAGTAAGATACATTTTAGGATTTTTTAAATTCTGTACCTTATCTGATGAAAAATAAAAGCAAAACTAGATAACTAATGATATGAAGCTGTTTTTCATGGTGTGTAGCTGGCCACATACTAGCTTTACTAGTAATCTACATATACACCTTGCACAGCTGACAATTGTAGGTGAGTGGGCAGCCTGAAAGCCAGTTCCTGATGTATGTCTGTCATCATCTCTCACTACAGTCTAACTGGTATTAACTGACATTTTCTTTGGCAGCTTTTAGCAGAAGGATTGAATGGATATAGAAATGAACTACTTTGATGCTCTCTAGAGAGATGGAATTATTCTGGCATAAATGAGGCACCCTGATGTGGAGTACTGCTGATGAGGAAGCTTGAAATGTGGTACATTGTATTTTACTTGTTATCTGGCTAAATAGATTGGTATGCATCAAGGCTGTCAATCAAGAACTTTTATCTGTAAAAACCTGGAATAGATTTTTTATAAAAAGCAAGAAAATGAAGAAAAAATTGGCAATTTTCTAATTTTTGGAAACTGTTTCATAAATAGCACTGGGTGATCTCTGTTTCTGTCTTTTACTGAAAAAAATATTCTTAGCTTATAAGTGAGATTTTCCTAACGAGCATCAGAAAGTCAAGTGGAAGTATTTCTAGCTTATGCAAGTTCAAAAATACAGAATCTAGCTAAGATTTTTAACAGTTTAGAGGATGATGCACAAATCAGAGTAGAAGATGGCTCCCTCTTCTGGATATCTTTTTTTAATTCTACAATGTTACTCAGAGTGAAAAATCATTAAAATCTGAATTTGGAAAATAAAGTACTCAAATATCAGGCTGGAATACATATAAAAGTCTGTGTAATTAAAGTCTTTAAGTGTCATGTTTTAAAGGAAAACTGTTCCTGAAGTCACAGGAATTGCCAAAGACCATGTCTTGATTTGAGTATCAGTGCTAACATAGTAAAACCTGGAGATCTCTTTGCTGGTACGTAAGCATGCAGACTACCTTGCAGCACATAGGAATGGCCTGTTCCTGTGCCTTCAAGACTTCCCCCTTGAAGAGCATCCAGCCTTTCTGCATTCCTGTACCCTTTAGAACAGATTCCCAAGGGGTTCTGGCAATCAGGCTACTAAACAAGTTCAAGTTTGCCCTTTGGAAGTTTAGGGTGGCAGTTTTGCTGCCCCCTCACCCCCTCCTGGCATCTCTAAAATAGAGAATACTGCTACCTGTAAACTACAGCTGTCTCTAAAACAGCACAACAGAAAAATTAAAATTCCTAAATTGTCAGGAAAGTGTAGTCAGATGGGAGACAGTGAGTTCAAAAACTGGCTTTCTGGGTGGTAGGTTTAAAAAAAATTCATTAAAATAGGTCCAGAGCAGAGTGAAGTTGAGGAAGACACAGCCATTTGCTTCAGTAGCTTTAAAGAGACTATCCTGAGTTTTAAGAGAATGACTACTTTGTGATAGATGGGGTTTTTCTAGTGATAGATGACTATCTTTGTCAATTGTTAAATGGAATCAGGAAAAATACTACAATAGCACTTACCTGAAAACATCATCATGTGCTGAAAGTTCCTGGGAATCTTTTGGTTTCGGCCCAAATTCAAAAGGAACGAAAGTGGATATATGTTGCAAGCTCTTGCTACAGCAACTGCCATCTGAGGTGTAAGATGTTGAGGAAAATAGTAGAGGAATGACCAACAATCACAGAGTTAACTTAAACCCAGTATGACTCCCAAGTTCTTTTAAGTGTAATTAGAATGAATATAAGGTTATCTTCTGTCATATTGTGCATGTCAGATCCTTCTGGTTCCAATTTCATTATAAAATCATGCAGTGGCAGACACTGTCTTCCCCAGACATCCTGGTTTTATATTCATGATTTCATGTCCCTCTTTGATCATTCTACTTTTACTCATCACATTTGTATCACATTTGACTTCATCTTCAGTGCTTCAGTAAAATGGCTGTCATCAGCTGGAGAGCTGGCATAATCTTCTTGAGCAGCAATTGGCAAAAAATAAATATGCTTTTGGACATGATTACTTTGTTTCCTGACAATTCATATTGTCTATATCCAGCACTCTCTTCCTTCCTTTTTTTTTTTTTTTTTTTTTTAAATTTTTCTTTTTTGGAGATTTTTCAGAAGGATCTCCTTATTACTCCTCTGTTGATCATAAAAATTGCCTTAATTAGAAACGTAAGACTGTTTCCGATGAAGAAAAAAAAGACAATCAGCTCCTTAAGACATACTTTTATCAGATTCCATCCACTCCTTGTCTTGTGAGTCTTAGTGCCAATTATGGCACTCTTAGTCTGAGACATGCTGAGGACTGTAGAATAGATGGAGTACTTGATTGACAGTGTGTGTATGTATGATATCTGCTGGGCCAAGAGCTGCTTAAAGCTCCTGTGGACTTTGGAGAACGTGCATTAGCAGTGATTGCTTCACGTGCAACCCTGTTGCAGTCTGTTGGCTCTTCGTGAGAGGAACTGATGAAGCTGGATCCCTGCTCTGCAACACAGTTCCCATCTGGGGTGCCAAGTGCTGCTCTCACGTTCCATGTCTTCCCATGGCAGGAGACCAGGACGTGGTTTTGCACTTGCCTCGTTGCAGTGATGGGGTACAATAGGCTCTTGAGGTCCTCTCTGCCCTCTAACCCAACCTGTAGCTGAGTGAGCTGTGATGCAGTTCTTATTATTAATTTGGATATTACACATAAAAATATTGCAACTAAACAGTATAATCAAAAGTTCATGAAAAAGTGTTAAGGGCTGCTGCTCTGAGCCAAAAAGAAATCATTGTGTGAATTGTTAGTGTGAAAAGAATCAGTATCACTGTATAAATAAGCAAGAGATTTGTTGAGAAACCATGGCAGAATTAAAGACAGCCTTTTTCTTACCAGTCTCTTAGGCACATGATAATGTAAATAGTTCCATACACACTAGAGATATAAAATAAAAAGAAAATATTTGAGCAATGCAGAGCTGTTTGCTTTTTAAGGACTTAGTAGCATTTACTTAGGTCTGGGGAAGTTCTGCTTATGCCATGTGTCTATCTGGAGGCAGCTCCACACTTTGTAGATCGGTGCTGACTCTGGACAAAGTTTTCTGTGCCTCCACCTGTCCCCTCGTGTGTTCCAATAAACATCCTAATTTCCCACCCCACCTCTAAACCAGTGGCAAAAGTTCCCAGCTGGTTCAAAGGTATTTGCCTTGTAGCAAATCTGCAAAACAGTGTCAAAAGACCATGTACTTACATGGATTGAGCCAGTTATTAAGATATACATAATAAAGATGATTGACTTTGGACTTGACAAAAAATTGATTTTTAATATTTAAGGAATTGATTGGTTTCCATGTTGACCCTTTTTCACATGGAGCACACATTCTTTATATATATATATAAAATAAATATACATGTACGCAGACATACACATGTTTAAAGGAAAGGATACAAATGCACCAAATATAAAAAGAGGATTGAAGATATGATTTTGAAACGTGAACAGTGCGAGTCCCATATAACAAAAGATGACGTTCTCAGCCAAAAAATTCATGAACTCGAACAACTTAAATGAGAGAAAGAACATAATTACAACTCATGTCTAAAACCAGCTGCTGTTTATCACCATGTTCCCTTGGGATACAGCACAGTTTAGATGAAAGTAACAAAAATTGCACCTGTTCCAATGGTCGATTTTAAAACAATCTAATTTGCTATACAGTTTACATGGTGTCTTTTAGCTTTAAAAATCACAGTTGCTCCCATGTTTTTTTCTGTTTTCTGTATGAAAGCTTGACATAGTCAACTAACAAAATACATAAACAGCACATAAGTTATGCAAGTTTTGATGCAAACTGCAAGAAAGCTGAGGGAATTTAATTCCACTTATGTTTATACAGGTGAACCTGGGAAGTAGCTCAGATCCTGGTTACACAAGTGGCTGTGCATAATACAGCACGGGGTATGGGGACATTAGTGCCAAGAGAGTGAAAAAAATAATCATCCTAAATGGACTTTTAAGAACCCGTGCCTTCAAATTTCTTTCCATGACTATTATCCTGCAGGTGAAAACTTTTATTGCACTTTATGGACACCAATATCAATTACTTGTTTCAAACCAAACTATTTAAGATATAATTTAAACATATTATAAAATAAGCCTAAAATACATGATGATGGTAGGATTTCTTCTGTAAATAAACCTAGCAAAACCAAAATATTAATTTGCCTTGAGGGGATGTTTGTGATTGCACTTGCAGCTGATTGTGTAAAAACTAATAAAATAAATGTTCACATTTATCCACATCTGAAAGTAATCAATCACTGCTGCCAAATAACTGCAGAGGAGAGAAAAAGAGGTCTTTTTGCTTCTGAAGTCACTTTTGGGTTTAGGAGATTATGCTAACAAATCCTGATGCAGAATTAGGGCTGAAGTTTGTCAGCCTGTCTACAGCCAGTCATACATCACTATCCAGAATGTTACTATGGAGATATTTTTTAAATCTTCAATAGGTTTATGTATTTTTTTAGTAATATGTTTGTGCTTCTAAAAATAAATATCCAATAACAGTTACTAAGTTTTAACAAAGGAAAAATAAGAACTGCCAGAGTAATTATTCAGTAGAAGTTTCAGAGGCAAAATAGCATAAACCCCAGTAATATATAGGAAGATATTTTGAACCCCATGGAAGCATCATTAGTTATTCCAAGCACAAACTCCATAGCCCCCACTTTGTGCTGCAGTGCTGAACAGCATGAAAACAAACATCATAAGTATTTGCAAGTTAGTATACTTAAATTATTTAAATTAAGTATAAATGAGATAAACCAGTTGTCAGAAAACCTCCAAGTATGGGATCTTACAATCCATAGGAATTACTGTGATTAATCTTTGCCTTACTATTTGGGAACAAACATGGACCCACTTATTTGTGGGAATATAATCTGACGTTTTTCTAATGCTTTAAAACATGTATCAGGAGTGTCATGACAAGATTTACATAAATATAAAATATACCTATAAATATTTGTGTATATATAAAAGTATTTTGAGGGAAGGATACTGCTATGAGTTGTGTTCTTCAGTTGTTAAGAAAACCCCCCAAAGGGGTTTCAGAGGTTTTAAAGCTGAATAATATTTCAGTCTTCATTTACAAAATGTCATTCAGGACTTAATGAGATGTAAAGTAGATCTACTATTGATGCATTTTAGAAACACATTTTCTGAAACTGAAGTTTCTTCCTTGTATTTTTGAAACTTCTATTGATATACATGTTTTGAAGGAAAAGAGATGTTGCTATATCATTGCTTTTGCTGTAACAAATAAATTCAAGCTTTTGCTTTTGCCTGAAGTGCTTTCATGATATTACTGCTTTTAAACTTCTCACCTCTCATCTCACAGCTATTTGGTCAAGATGCAGGCTTTAGGTATTTCTTGTAAATTCAGTCATTGCCCTCTAACTTTACTGTACTTTATGGCTTTTCTGGCTACAAACATTTTGTTTCTTCCTATTCTATTGCAGCTTGAAACCTCCATAATAATTTTAGGAAGTGATTCTTAAAAGGAAAAAAAATCCCTAATGCTTGACCGTGTCTTTCAAATCAAGATGAACAGTATATGCCTCCTTTGCTCACTGGGCCAAGGCTTCCTGTGCCACCAGACTTACAAGTATTCTTAGCCTATATTTTCTGTGTATGTAACACTTTTTAGCCACATCATTTATGTGAGGTACATGCAACTCTGTAATCTATTGCAGGATACCAGCTAGTTTTGTTTGCAAGAGCAAATACAATACAAATACCATATTTTTTTTTTCTGTAAATTTTGGTGCTGACCTATGTTGGGTTTTTTTTTTCCTCCCTTACCTTTAGTTTCTTAGTATCATAGTATTGTTCTGATCAGAGAAGACCTTTGAGATCGTCAAGTCCAATTTTGATCTTCCACTATCTGAGCACTGCCTTCTTGTAGAAGATTAAATCTGGGCTAGTTTTCTTCCCTTGTATAGCAAAAATCCAGGTGCTATTTCAATAGCTAATTTAGAGTAGGCTCATTCCTATTCCAGGTACAGCCACAATATGGTCTCTAGTGAAAGACTCAGCTCCTTAGAATGGCAAAACTAGCTTGTTAGCTTCATTCAGAGTCTCCTTTATTCCTCACATAGTTTGCTCTCTCTTTTTAAAAGCATGTCACTTGTATGAAGCATTTCTCACCCTGAGTTAACAAAAAATACTAAAAAATATCAACTACTTCAGAACAAGTTATTGACACAAAAGAAGTGACATCTGATTGCCTTTTCCTGGAATGTGATGCTTGTAGATATAAGGCAAAACTTAGCCACTTCACTTTTATTCCTATATTCAGCATGGTGTTTTATGTAGTGCTTCTTCAGCTTCTGTGTTTTGTTCAATAGTGATACAGAGCCCTTGGAGATATTCCATTAAGCACTTAACTATCAGTGCTGTGCAACATAAATCCCATCAGAACAAAGCAATTTATTCTAAGAAAGTCTTCTGAAAACCATGCTAATAAACAGCTTCTATAGAAGCATTTTCCCAAATTGTCATGCCTTTCACAGAATGTTTCTGTCACTGTTTTAAAGATGAGTTGTCAAGACCTTTTGATGAGAAGTGGAAGAATAGGAGGAATAATAGGTTTTCATCTGGAATACGTAATTTCCTAGGACACCCAAGGAGTTCCAAGAAGAGCTGCACCATACACATTTAACCTCTGAAAAAAGTCCTTTTTTTTGTCTGAGTTGCCATAAGCCAGGTCCCTGCTATGGTCTATGGTCTGCTTAGATGCCACTCAAAAATTTTGCTTATTTTGAACATGGGCACTTGCAAGTGGGATTGCTTGCATGGAAAAAAGCAGCAGAAAAAAAAAAGTTAAGATTAGAATCCTAGATACTGAGTCCTTCAAAGTATTTTGTCTACAACCATAAATTCTGTTCCTTTGCCTCCTACTCAGACAACTAACCTTTTTTCTACTCTAAATTAAATTGGCATTAAAGTGCTCATGTACTGCCATTAGTTTCCCCAAGGCCCCCAGGAAACGATATTAGGAACCATTTTAATATAAGAATAGTAATAATAATTTTTTCTTCTGTTTAAAACTAAAAAACCTCATTTGTAATGTGCCATTTCTACCTCTCTGTTAAGTCTATAAATCAACTTACAGCTTTAAAATAAGAGTTGTAATAAATCACCAGTGTCAACACATTGCCGATTAGAGTGTTAATTATAAAAACATTGGTTCAGAGCCCATCTGGGCACTTGGTTTGGGTGTTCAGCTCAGTGAGTTGCTGGAACCTGGATTCACTTTGTTTTGATTATTTTATCTGCAAAAAGTGGATATTAGAAAATATTTATATTTTGAATGTCTATTAAAACAAACATATTTAAAAACACATCATGTACCAAGTATGCTTAGGTTTTCTTTATTCTCAGCCATTGTAAGTACAAAGAGGGATGTGCAAAAAATCAGTTTTAAGTTGGGATATTCTTCTGGAAAGTGCTACTGGCAGAGGAGAGAATCAGTCTAGGTTACCTATACCTTAAGCCTTGCTGTAATCACTAAGTTTATCTTATACTGATGCTTTATTTTAACTCAAGTGAAAAACTCAATATGATATAAAAACTGTATTAGTTTTATCTTTTGAGTGAGATAAGGAAAGTGCCTTCTTTTGTCTTCTTCCTTCCCTCCACCCCCACAGTTAAGTTCAAGCCAGTTACACAAACAAGCTACACCAAAATGGGTTTTGCAACTTGATCCATTTTATGAACTACTTTAATTTTCACTGAATGTTAGAGAGATTCTCTGGATAATTAATTAGTGCACCTGGAAGGTGGGATACACTAAGTTCCAATCTAAGCTGCAATAAAAATAGAATTCTTTCAAGGAGCATCAAAAGGAGAAAATAAGCATATTTTATGCTACAGTCCCATGGTTGGGGAGATGGAAAATGTATGATTTCTCAAATCCTAATATTTTAAACAGGATTTTTCATCTAAAGGGAATAATATTAGTATGAGAATATTGGGTAGGAGTGGAATAACAAACAGCATCCTTTCATCTCAAGGGAATAATGTTAGTACAAGGGTATTAGGTAAAAGCAGATTTACATCCACAACTAATTTCCAGCAAAATTCAGTGATTAATACTCAATGATGGCATTATTACATTCTTTCACTTGATTTAATACCTGCTGAAGGAGCGTTATTCACCTCTGGCAGGTACCTCTGCTACTGTGTGCAGTTCTGGGCCCCTCATTACAAGAAGGATGTCAAGTTGCTGGAACATGTCCAGAGGAGGGCTACCAAGCTGCTGAAAGTTTTGGAGAATAAGCCCTATGAGGAGACGCTGAGGGAACTGGGAATGTTTAGTTTGAAGAAGAGGAGGCTGAGGCCTTATTGCTTTCTAGAACTACCTGAAAGGAGGTTGTAGGGAGGTGGGACTTGGCCTCTTCTCTCAAGTGAATAATGACAGGACCAGAGGAAATGATCTGAAACTGCACCAGAGGAGGTGTAGACTGGATGTTAGAAAGAATTGCTTTACTGAAAGAGTT